AATATGCGCATATTATTCCAAATTTGCAATTATATTTTGTATTGTTTCAAAGTCGTCACCGTTTGGTAGATCTGATGCATTGGCGACAAGAATGGAGTACTGACCGGAAACATATCTAAAATTAAATATAAATTCAATTTCCAACAAAAAAAATATAAATATTTTTTGTTCACTTAAATGAATATTTTTCCAGTCCAGTCCCATACGTTGTTGTTTTTTTTTTTTTTTTTTTTTTTTTGACACTCAACCAATGACGATTATAAGTTTTTTTTTTCTGGCCAGTACACCATACATGTTATAAATGCTGGTAAGATTTTCCAAATCCTACTGTGAGATTATATCATTAAATAGTTTTCGAAGGGAAAAAAAAAAGATTCTGACGTAAAATATATACAACAACCGACAATTCCTGATCAACGTGCCATTTATTTCCTTTACAAATTATTGCTATCTTTTTTAGAAGTCATCACCAACTCTCAACGTCTCACATTTAATAATCAACGTGTAAAGTTATTTAATGGAACCCTAGAGATAGTACTCTCGAAGGGAAAGGGGTCTCGCCTTCGAGATAAGGATGTGCGACGATAATTGAGTATGGGGGCGAAGATGAGGACAAAATCTAATCGTCGAGCCGTCGAGTTCCCGATATACATATATTATAATTTATCAAGTCTAAACCTTTTTATGTTTTTTAAATGCTTAAAACATTACTATTTAAGGTTATTTTCATCTTTTCTTCGTATTTTTTCATTGAAAAAGTATGCGAGAGATGAAATTAAAATAAGTTTTTTATCTAGAAGATATAATGATACATTAATTGAGAAAAAAAATTAAAGGATACATTCATTCATTAACTACTCATTTCTAAAGAAAATCTCTAGATTTAAAATCCGACACTACTCATATAAAGCTCTTGAAAGAAAATCTCCAATATTCGCCTAATTAAGATCATTTCGCCTCGTGACACTAGGGTTTGGGTGTGGTTTTAGGAGGTTGCGGGTTTGATAATATTTTGTATAAAAAAATAAAATAAAAAATAAAAACCCTCCAATATCCCCTTGACAATAAAAAGAATATCCGAATGTATAACTAATAGCAGCTAGAGCTAAGAAGGAACAAAAGCCTCAAATGTTAGGAATTATGGGCTCTTAATATTTATAAATGAGATCAAACAATAATCAAACCCAAAAATAAATTATCGTATGGATTTTGAAACATATAGTTCTAGGATTACCTCCTCCACATGGCATAAGAACGGGGTCGTTCATGGTTGTCAAAAAACGTTCAAGACCAGCCGGAATTGGTGCATGAATGACCTCAAAAATCAAAGGGGCTTGAAGAGTTCTTGAGCTCTTTCTCTTCTCTGCCTCTCTCCACTCCCACGGGCACACATATACACGGCAGGGGAAAAATTTTTCCCCTCTAGTTTTGTGCCGCAACCTTAGGCAATTGGGCCTTGTTAGGCCTCAACCAAAATTATTAAGGGAGAAAGAAGGAAATATGCAAGATTTGAGATGAATTAAAATTAATAAGCCAATAGTTTACATAAGTTAATAAATAGGTCAAATTACTGTTTTCGTCCATAACTTGTCTGATTATGAACCATAACTTGACAAGTTATTGTCCATAACTTGTCTGGCTATGAACCATAACTTGACAAGTTTGTCTATAACTTATCTGGTTATGAACAATAACTTAACAAGTTATGGCCTATTAATTTCTATAACTAAAAATTGACCTATATACTTTCTTAAGCTTTTCATATTGGCCTATTTTCTACTATTTCCCAATTATTAATAGAGAGGAAATTTAGCCCAATAAGTTGACCAAATATTTAGAGAGAGTGAGTTCATATGCCTCAAGCGAGTCAATAAACTAAGTTTTCATCCCATTATAGACTAATATTAATATACATACATTAATTAATTCACATTTACACAATTGTCCATAAAATATTTTAATTAATTACAAATTAAATTATTATGATTATAGAAGTCCACATAAAAATATTCCAACATCAAATTCTCAACCGCGTGAATTCTAGTTGAAACTTCATATTTGTATATGAATTCTGTCATATATAAACGCCAGATTAGGATGGAAAGCCTAGAATTCTCAGCTTTATGAACTTATATGATATGATATGATATATATCAAGCAAAATGTACGTACATAGTAAAACTTGTTCAGGCTAATGTCTCGTTCATTTCACCGATTCGAGTTTAAAATTTGAGTTGTACTACAGTAAAAAGCTCTCATATAAAGTCACATCTCAACTCGAATTAAAAACTCGAATCAGCAAACTAAACAGGCTCTAAAAGTTAGTGATGCTGATACGACAGTATATGAGTATATTCATTTATAGTCCTGATGGTTAAAACCTATGTCAGCTTAATTTCGATCTTAGCAAGACGAAAAATCTGATTGCAGAGCACTTACGCAAAGAGAACAGGTCTTTGCTCTAATTAAACTATAGTATATCACCCGACAAGAACAAAACTGATTGAAATTCTTAGGATTAATTTCATAAACACCCTCTAATTAAACTAGGCACCCTAGTTCAACATGTATACCCGAAAAAGTTATCATTTCTTCTTTTGAACTATGTGAGCATTGGCCTACATCAACATAACTGCTTTTGTCCATGATATTTTCAAAATGATGATGCGAGGAAAACAATAGTTTGAACATAATAATTCCCTCCAAACTTTTTATTTTAAGTTAATTTATCCTTTGAGCTATTAGATGTGTGTCAATTTTCCCCCCATTTAAAAAAAAAAAAAAAAAAAAGGAAGTTGACATGTTGTCCGTTCATTTCATTAGGTCAAGTTGAAAACTTGAGTTGAAAATTATATTTATGTGAGAGAAAACATTATAGCAAAAAAACTGAATTTAAATTTTTATGAAAGATAAAATATTGTAGCAAAATTTCAGTTGTGATCCGAATTGTTAAAAAAAGAGCTCGCAGAATTAATGGTTGGAGGAATTTATGTAATTACATTAGTTCGAGGGGTGCTTTTAATGACTTCACATAAATATTTTTATAAATAGAGCTCTAAGGCTCTTTATTTTGTATAATTTCATAAGATTAATAAAATTCTCACTCTCTAAAGTTTTAGTTTTAGTTTTGTATTTTCTTAGTTTTCATAACAATATATATATATATATATATAAATTGGTTTTCTTCAAGCAAGTTGTCTGACGAACTCAAAATTTGTCATGTACCACGATTTGAAATAAGAATGGATAGGAATATCCATTAAAAGCTATTTATTCAACTCTATCTTACATATTATCAAGATCTACAAAATCTTATACAGTAAGATTATGAGATCAGATAACAGAAGAAACGGCACTAGTCTATTTATTATCCATAAATTACTTATAAAATATATTATCCACAATTTTAAAAGTATTTAAATAATTTCAGTTGCGGTGATTATTGACTTTCTTTCGTATGAAAATATCGACTGTTATTATTTTTAAAGCTATCATCAACTCTCAAGTCCTTTTCGCCTTTAAATATTCAGCATTTTCCCATATTCGGGACAATATATTAAGATTTTTATGCGATTTAACTTTTCTCAATCTCTACACTTCTGCTTTTTGAAACTAAAAAACTATAAAACTATCCTTTGAAATTGAGCAACAATGATTGCAATTCCATCCCTGATCACGCACTTTTATACATGGAAAAACAATAAAGCAAAAACAAACATGCAAAAAAAAAAAAAATATATATATATATATATATATTAGATTTGAACAAAAAATGTGGAAGGTATGCTTTAAGTAGTTTTCATAAATTTTCCTCCATAAATAAATATTATTTAGTGATAAATTTGGCTTAATTAAGAACTTTTTTGTCCTTTTTCTCTTCTTTTTTTTTTTTTTTTGTCCACAAAGTGCACGAGTGATGAAGTTGATTTTTTCAAAGTAAAAAAATGTCCTTGTAGTTTGTAAAATATAAGATTAATGTTATTAAAACTAGAATGTATATTTCTAAAACTAAAGTCCTTTAATAATTAATTAACACTTTCATGATGATTTTTCCTTTGATGATAAACAATTATCATCATTAAAAGTCTAAGGAATAGTTGTTTGGAACGTGGTGGTTTCCCTCGCAAAAAATTTGAATTCAAAAAAGTTTTCCCCTATGGATTCTCTCACAAAATTTAAATTCCAATACTTCAAAGCAATTACTTTAAACTCATCTTCCAAACTGACACTAAAAATCGTGGTTAGAATGGTTTTACCGTGGTTGCCAACTAAAAATTAGTATGATTTAAAGATGTGTAGCAACGACATAATGTGTAATTTCTAAGAAGTACTGGCTTTTAACCAATTATTGAGCTCGGTTACAAGAAGATAATGATATTGTCGAGTTCTTGCTTTTCTAGAACCTCTTGATCATGCAATCTTAGAGCCCGTTTGGTTCATGGATTAGAACCATGAGATTAGAATCATTTTCGATTTACGTGTATTTTTTGTGAGAAAAAATATTGTAGCGAACCATGATTCGAATCAGAGAACGAATCCTCCAACCAAACGGGCTCTTATTTTAAATTAGCTAGGGTTTTGTTGTCGGTAACAAAGACCCTCTCAAATGTGGATTGTTGTATAAAAACACTCGCTACAAGAATTTAAATTTTTTGTTACCAAAAACCCTATTTTTGGCAGCAAAAAATGCATAACAGAAAGTATTAGTTACTAAAATTTTAGTAGCAAATAGTTTTTGTCCGCAGTACTATTTTTAATTTGTTAAGCGCTCTCTCTAATTATTGAGCAGAAATGGTCACAATGTAATCACGTGACCTAATTTTTAAGGGAAAATTGCAAAACTGTTTTGAGTGGCAAAGTAATCACCACATGGATGACCGTTGTGACCGGTTGTCTATTAGAAATATTAACGATTGTTTGTGAGGGAAAAATTCCACTACAAGATAATAATAATAATAACAGCAGCAACAACAACAACAACAATTCAGAAACAAAAAACGTTTTTCGCTTGAAGTTGTCCAAATCTTTATTCGAGTACAAAGGAACATAGTACATAACACAACGAGTACAAACATTATATGTTAATTAAACTCTCATTTATAACATGACACAAACATATTATTTATACTTATATAATTATACATAATTGATCACATAAATATTTGAACTTCAAGGATAAATATTTTATTTTGTGGAGATTATTCCTTGGAATGGTGAGCATCAATATCTTGAGCGATCTTAACCGCCATAGCAAGGTACTTGTCCGGAGCAGGAACATCTTCACTAAGTTTCTCATATTCAATGACAGTTTTTGCCACGCCTCCATTACCCTTTGGAGTAAGTTCATAGATTGGTGTAAAGCTCTTGTAGTGTTTGAATACATCTCCCTCCAATCCAACAAGCCTTATTGTCTTCGTTTCATCGTCAAACTCCAACTTCTCCTTGAAAGTCTCAGCCCTTCCATCTAACAACGATTCACCAATAAAATTATTAGAAGTCCAAATCCCAAGTATAAGAACAAAGAAGAGAATATATATATATATATATATGAGATGAGGGGTTCCTATTGATATTACAATGGCCTCGATATCAGTTATATATGTGTGTGTAAAAAAAAAAAAAAAAGGCTAGGCAATCGCACTAATGATAACAATATGTACCTTGTGTAAGTTTTTTTTTTTTTTTTCTTCCTAACAACATACTAAATGAGGTTATTTTTAAAGAATTCTAACAACATAATAAATGAGGTTATTTTCAAGGAATAATACCTTGTGTAAGTTTTTTTTTTTTTTCTTCCTAACAACATACTAAATGAGGTTATTTTTAAAGAATTCTAACAACATAATAAATGAGGTTATTTTCAAGGAATAATACCTTGTGTAAGTTTTTTTTTTTTTTCTTCCTAACAACATACTAAATGAGGTTATTTTTAAAGAATTCTAACAACATAATAAATGAGGTTATTTTCAAGGAATAATACCTTGTGTAAGTTTTTTTTTTTTTTTCCTAACAACATACTAAATGAGGTTATTTTTAAAGAATTCTAACAACATAATAAATGAGGTTATTTTCAAGGAATAATTAATATGATTTTTTCTTCTTATAGAAATATAGTTTTGTTAACTAATCAATATAATGAGAACACAACATATATATTATTATCATCTATAAAAAATAGAGATAAATTAGGGATTGGCAAATATGTACCTGAATTAATGTACTAAAACCAGTTTACAATATAATAGCACTCCAAATTATTAAAAGGATTAATTAATGTACCTATTGTATAATTCCAGAACTTAACACAGTCATGACTATCCCAGTCGCCTTCATGCACCTCCACCGCCTTAATATGGTGGCCGGCGACGTTCGGGAGATGGTGGGCGGTTCTCCGGAACATGTTATAAAACTGCTCAGGAGTTGCCTTCAGTTCAACTTCAGTCTCCACCTTACCCTTCAGATTCGCCATTATTAGCAACAGTGAATACTCTAAATTAATTAGCAGAGATATTATTTGATGAATACCTATCGTCTGCTCCTCGCAAATATATATATACACATGTCAAAGATTGTTGTTATAAAAGAAATATTTTCCATAACAAATATTGTCCACACGCATTACAGGTCTTCATCACTTTTATTATTATTTTTCTGAAAGGTACTTTTGTTATTTTATTTATGAATTAAAGATCATTATGTTATTTTACGTTGTTAATAATCATTCTTCTTTTTAATAATAGAGATATTTTTTTTAGATAAAGACATAATATTTGAATTTTAGTAAAACAAATTTTTGATAAGAGATAAATTTTAGCTGTAAAAACAGAGAAAGAGAAAAAGAAAATATCATTGTTTATCAATTTTAGACACGCAAATTTAGGGTAATTTGAAATCAAAATTAAAATTTTATAAAATTGGTCCTATTTCACATTTACATTGATGAGTAATAGGAAAAAAATTTCAAAGTACGAATAAAATTTTAGGCATCTTTATAATTAACAAATGACTCTTTATAAAATATGAACCTTTTTTTTTTAAATAAAGACATAATATATGAATTTTAGTAAAAATAATTGGTAAAAGACACAATAAAACTAAGATGGCCATAAATTTTGGCTTTAAAATAGAGAGAGAGAGAGAGATTCCCTCTTCTATATATCTAATTGACGTATCGTAAACTTGCCTGCCCTCTTCTATATATCTAATAGACGTATCGCAAACTTTCTTGTTTTACACAAAAGATGAGAATCCAAAAGTACCGTCTCGATTTAAGCATGATAGTACCCTGATTAATATGTGGCCAAGTATCATCTTAAACATCACTCGAAAAATTAAAAACTCAATACAAATAATAGATTTGAAGTATAAAAAAAAAAAAAATAGATTTCAAATCTAGCAAAAAAATAATAATATAGATTTCAAAACTACAGGGAAAACCTCCAAGAAGAAATTTTTTTAAAAAAAATCTACAAAAAATAAAAATAAAATCCAAAACCCAAATCCTACAATGCAAAATAATTTTATAGTCAATCAGAAAGTAAACTGTCTCTCTTTTCAGCACCTAAAAATCTAGATTGCAGATAAAATAGGGATTTGTGCAAGAATAGCCGATTATAAGGCATGGCTTAAGTAAAATGACAACTGTTTTTTGAAATTATAGCCAAATGTAGACCATTTTCAATGTAAATATTAATGTTAATTGTATATTTACTATTAAAAAGTGTGATATAAAAATTATTTTTATTTTTATTTTAATGCATAATACTATTTGATATGTTAAATTTATATTTTTCATAATTGTTAAGTTTTGAAAGTTATAAAAGTAAAATTTTATGTTTAAAATAATTAGAAAATATAAAAATTGTATTGATGACATAAAAAAGTAAACATTTCAACCAATAAAAATAAAATGTTAAATTTCTTATATACTATATTTGGTAAAAAAATTTATCACAAAATATAACATATGAGAAATTTAATATAATAAATAGTATTGTATTATAGAGTATTTTTTATACTCAAATATCAAATTTATAATTGATTATGGGATATGCTCTTGATTTAAGAGAAAAAAAATCCTAAAATGCTCTTAATAGGAAAAAAATCTATCCAGAATTTTGTCTCCTCCATAGCACGATGCAAGATCCCCTTCTCCGCTGAGCTGCCGCCGGCCACTGGCGGTCACCGCTGCGTTTAATGGTTAATCAAGTTTTTGTTGTCGTGAAATTTTTTGGGCTTGATGCGGTGAATGGTAAATTTATTTATTTTTTTATGAATTGAATGGTAATTTGATTGAATAAAACTAATTGACTGCTTATTTGTTTATCGGAATTGATTTATCATGTATATATATATATATATATATATATATGTGAAACAAACTGGAGATTCAATTGGAATTTGGGTGAAACTTCTGTGTAGAAGAAGTGAAGCCTCTGTGAAGTTCTGATAGCATAGGTTAACGTGAACTAGGAAGAGGAAATGGTGGGAATAAAAATGGAAAACCAAAAAAGCCATTAAAAAGACCCGGCCATCTATCTAAAGGCCTCGTTTGTTTCGTGGATTCGAGTTGAGATGTGACATTTTTTAAGAATTTTTAACTGTAGTAAAAAAATTATATATAACATTTTTTAAGAATTTTTAATTGTAAAAATCTAAAATTGAAAACTAAAATCAGTAAAATGAACGAGGTCTAAATTTAAAAAAATCTGGATAGATTTTTTTATGCGAGGTGGTTCAAAGGCCACATGGCTCAATTTCCCTGGCAAAAATATTGTTCATAGTCCGATCAAGATCCACAATTATTTAGCAATCAGATCAGGAAACCCTACATATACCTATATGAATAAGTGAGAGAGTTCTATTAACACCTTTCATTCTATTTTTTACACATACTTTCTTAAACCACCCAATTTTACTTGTTACACATCTTTTAAAAGGAAAATAATAGGAAATAGGCCAATATAAAAAATTTAAGAAAGTATATAGGCCAACTTTTAGTTATAAAAATTAATAGGCCATAACTTGTCAAGTTATGGTTCATAATCAGATAAGTTATGGACAAACTTATCAAGTTATGGTTCATAGCCAGACAAGTTATGGACAAAACCGAGAATAACTTGTCAAGTTATAGTTCATAACTAGACAAGTTATTGATGAAAACAGTAATTTATCCTATTTATTAACTTATGTAAACTATTGATCTATTAATTTTAATTCATCTCAAGTCTTGACTTATTTCCCTCTTTTTTTCCTTTTAAAATTTTTAAAAAGTCTCCGCAACTAAATCACCGCATATTCTACTTTTTATGCACACAATCTTGAACTATCCACGTTCTACTTGTAACTCCTTTTAAAATTTCAAAACAAATCCGTACAATTCAATTGTATTATTTTTGCTTGATAAAAACTATGTATTATAGTGAAACATTATCACAATCAATTGTGTTTTGTTCCGTGGAATATACGCACCCTATGTCTAATTATAATGGAAAAACTTTATCTAAAAGTGGCAATTGGCAGCTGTAGAATTGATGGCTCATGACTACTCGTACTTCATTATTTTGTTGGTAGTTATAAGGACAGAAAACGAGAGTAATGTAAAGAAATTATGAATCAAAAGGTAATTACGAATCAATTTGAGCACTTTATATCACTTTTATGTCCTGTCTATTTTCATCTACAAACATAAACCAATTTGAACACTTTATCTTATCAAAATTTGTTGTTGGTGTATAACTTCAACTTTTTGCGTAGGGCTTGCAATTTGTTAGTAATATGGGCTGCTTTTAAAATGATTTTGTTTTCAATACAAAAAAAAAAAAAATGAGATTGTTTTTTAGAATTATTTCGGGGCCGATTTTAGAATTGCGTTTGTTTAATTTTTTAAGAGATTGTTTTGAGTATAATAAAAAAGTAAAATCGTGTTTAGTTATAACTATTAATTAATATATTATAACATTATTGATAAGTACTATGAAATGAAAATAGAAAAGATAAAACAACTTTCAACCGTTTTCTAATTCCTTTACAAAAATTATTCTCACTGTTTTTTTTTTTTTCGTTTTCAAAACATTTGTTAAACAAACACAGTTTAAAGACTGTTTTCATTTTCGTACCTCAAAAAGTGTGCAAAAATGTTTTAAAAAACAAGTAAAAATTAATTCCAAATGCACTTATGATCTCTTTGCAGCAAACGTCACCATAAGCATCCTATATCTTTTTTTTTTTTTTCTTTTTTAATCATAGAGGGAGATTTGAACTCAGATATATATGGTGTTGAGATTTGCAGAATCCATATCAGATTTCACCTTAAAAAAAATCCAACTCAGAGTGACGTATCCTAATTAAATCAATGATTGATTTTTTAATTGTCTACTGAAACACGTGTTCTTGATCATAAATATACACCTAAAATTTTGTTGTTTTCTTCTCCCTATAAAAAAATACCAACTCTCCACTATCAACCATTTAAAGAAAGATAACAATAAATGAGTGAATTAACAACTCTCCCACTCAATGAGGGGAAATTAGTGGCTGAACCAAGCCCTAATAATAGAGGGTATGTTTAATTCACTGATTTGAGTTTTTAATTTGAATTGAGATGTGACTTCATGTGAGACCTTTTTACTATAGTAAAAAAGTTAAATATGACTGTTTTTTAAAGCTTTTTACTGTAACAAAACTCAAATCGGTGAAATGAACGGAATCATAAACTCTTGTCGTTGATAGTGAATGGTACTATAAGGATATCTAAATCATGTGTAAAATCTGTACAGAAAACCTCATCCGAAAAGACATGACGAAAGCAAAGTTGATTGAATTCCGAAAGTGGAAAACCACTTGAAACCTTAATTTATTACACCAAAATCTATATTTTAAAAAATTGGAAAGTCAATGAGCAATATCCCTAATAGGATATTAATTACACTTCTAATGAAAATGCAAGAAAATTTTACAAAACGAGAATTTATTCTTTCCTTGAACTGAAAAGCTGTTAACCCTCTGTTCAAAAAAAAAAAAAAAAAAAAAAGCTGCTAACCCTAATATAATTTTAATCTCGGAACTTGGAGTAAGTTTCGAAATAAACTGAATGCGAATGTATTGTCAATTTGTCATGCCTTGGAAGAGGTAAATATCACTTTGCCACCTCTCAACTGTGATGCCTATATAAATATTAAGTATAATTTGAAACATATTACCTCTATATAGGTTCTGTTCTTCTACAATAGGAACGATTTGTTAACATCTCTTGATTTTAGAAGCCACTCGGAATGTTGCCAATTACCCCACAAGAAACTTTATGAACGTTTGGTTCACAGATTTAGAACGATAATTTAGAATTATTCTCAATTTACGTGTGTTTTTTATGAGAAAAAACACTATAGCAAGCCACGAACTATGATTCAAACTATGACATGAATTCTCATACCAAACACCCTCATAGGGATGTGTCATATGTCATTAGAAAACGTTATGACTTACCTTAAGCTAAAAAAAATTTAAAAAAATAGCAAACGGTTCATATTGCAAA